CAGCCCTGGAGAGGAAGATCGCGGCAGCCCCCAGGCAGCCCCAAATCGCCCCCACACCCGAGGCACTAAGCGCCGAAGACGGGCACAGGCTCCGCCCTCCCACCCACACCGCTACCTCCCCCGGCGGCGGCGCAGCCTCTTGCAGTGGGGAGGGAAGAGGAGGTAGGCGCAGGGACACACGGAGGCGCTTTCGGGGGCCCCTCCCTCGTGACCCTGCCCCTGCGCGCGTGCGCAGCGGGGGGCAGCCCGGCCCGGCCCAGTTGCCGCTGGTGTGGGTAATGGGGAGCGGTAGTCGCGTTTGGAGGGCTGAGCGCGGCTGCTCCCCGAGGCCTCACCGAGAGGCACAGCGCTGAAGGGTAATCTGTCGCCGGGGGAGGTGGGGTTACCTCGCCGTGCCCCCCTGCGGCCTCCAGAAGGAAAAGGCCCGCAGGGTACCTTGCACGTCGTCACCCTGTGAGCTGTCAGTCACCAGGAGACGTCGTGTGGGCGGGTGTCTGTGTTGAGACAGACGGGCCTGTCAGTCCGGCCACCGGCGAGGAGCCGCACAAGGTAGCTGGTTCTGTGTAGGATCTGCCTTGTTGCTAAAGGGGTGACTTCGGGGCGGCAATAAACTTGATGGTTTTTTTCCTTTATTTTGCGTGTGTGTGTATGAATAAGGTGAGTCTTGTGTTCCCCTCTGGCAGCCGAGTACCAGAGTTAGCACAGCATACATTACCAAGATAGAGAGGGATCCTGTAGGCAGCAGTGGATGAAGAAAAACTGGGAGTGCAACCTGGAAGTGTTTTGTGCACTTCAGCCTCCTTCGCCTTTGGTGTCTATTATTCTTGTCTCTTAATGGTATACAGGAGGGGTTACAGGTTTGGGATAGAAGGGGGTGAAACTGTTTCTAGGGGGAACCTTGACAGTTTCTGCTGTCTGATGTAGTTGTGTACAGTTTAATTAGGTCATCTTTTCAACTGCCAAGTTTCCTAAATATTTGCTTTATAAGTAATTATTAATTTCTGCTGTCATCTATTGTAGACTGTAGGATTAAGGAGCATCCACATTTCTTTTAGAGAATTGAACTTTTGCAGGGTCGTTAAATTTTACTTTTAACTTGTTGCCTATCGAATTTATGTCTGTGAGGTACAGAATATGCAGATAACAGTGATGTCTTGGTTTCTACTAAATCCTTTGACATCAGCATCTTACTAGCAGACATAGATTTGCAATTACGGCATCCTAAGACAGAAAATGCTAGAATCAAAGTTTGCAGGATAGGTTCTCAATGGAATCACACAAAGTACATATTTTCTTATATAAAGGCTATGACCTTACTGTAATATAATCCACAATTGCACTTCCTAGCCTTTAATGAGGCATATATCAACAAAGTTCTGACAGGAAAAATTTTGTAATATTTGAGATGTGAATCAAAGGAAAATTTGCTTCTGTTGTGTATGTATGTTATCAGCAACTTGAAGATGGTTAGAAATGAGAACAGCAGATGTACATCCGTGGGTCTGAGCACTGGAAGATACTGATTTACATACTACTTTTCAGTGTAAGGGAAAAGCACATTTAGTGCCACTCATGGTAGTAAAATACAAACATTTACAGAATGTTAAGTGTTACAGGCATCTTTTTTTTTAACATGACTTTGGAATTGCTTACTGTAAGTCTAATTAGTTGCCTTGCATGTCAGCAGTGCACATTATCAATCTATAAATTACTACTGCTTTTAAGTAAAAGGAAAGATAAATTAATTAATGGCATATACCTAAATATCCTTCTTATTTGGGCTATACAGAAATGTCAAAGGATTCAGCCTCAGGTTTCACAGGAATAGGAAGTAGATGTCTGACGTTTTCACATGAATTGTGTAAAAGCTAGACAAATTAAAAGAAAAAACAGACCTGAGTTTGTCTTCCGCTGATTGACTCTCTTTTTTTCCTCCTTTCTGCTTTTTCCATATATCTGTTACCCACTGCATTTATCTCATTCTTGCCCTAATTTAAATGATTGGCATGATTAGCATGATTAGCAATACTAGATACCACTTCAGATGATTAGTTGAATAATTTCTTTTTTATTGCACTGTGATAGTACAGTTGTAATCATAGACAAAGACTGAATTTCTTGAGGACTTTAAGTTTCCAACAATCTTGTATTTAAGTTTTATTAAACCAGTTTGTGACATACATGCATTTATAAAATAAGCCTGTCCTCAAAGGAGGATCACTACACTGAATAGCCTGCAGGTAGTGCTGTCCATCTCCGCAAAAAGAGTTCTGTACCCAGCTTTTTGAAGGAAGTGAGACAGCAAAGTCTGAATCACTTCTGTCAGTGAACTTCAGTTTGCCTTAAAACAGGAACAAATTCCATGGAATTGATGGAGATGATACTAAAACCTTTCTGCATAAAGCACTATTTTCTTTGAATTTCCAGTGTTCTTAAAGAATAGTCCTTAAACGCTTTACAAAGGGAGTCGTTGCTGGTTGTTTGGAATTTAGTTAAACTGAAATTTGCTGCAAATATTTTGTATGAGCAGGAAGAGGAAGCAGCAATAACAGCAATGGACTTGCAGCCCGAATGCAAAGTAAAAAGCAATAGTTACAACACAGAGCCCTGGGATTGTCTTGCAACCACCAAACCATCTTGTGGTGGCCTTCTCTTTTCATCATCCTGTGCTTTTTCACCGTATTTACAGGATGAGTTTGTAGATGAGAAAGCCAGATGAGCCCTAGTGCAGGGGAAAAAAAATCTTGCTTTAATTATAGACAGAGTTCTAATTTGTAGTGGCCAATAGTAACATTAGGACCACACTTGCATCTAAATTAGTAGGTTGGTTGATGGCTATGGTAAGTACAAAGGTCACAAACATGGCAGGAGGACTCCTTTCATTCCCATCCTTCCGAATGTGGACTCAAGGACATGTTAGTTTCTTGTTCCTTCTGTACTGTGTCTGATCTAGTCATGAATTGGAAAATGAGTGATGTAGATTAAGCTTTTTAGCTGATGAGAATTGAACCTTTAATCAGGAATAGTTCCAAGTACAGGCAAAGCAAGTCATTGCCAAGGACAGCAAATGAAGATAGTGTCTCTCAGATGCAGCAGCTGGCGCTTGGGTCTCTTTTGCCCTTTTAGAAGAAAGTGTAAATAAAGAGTCCTTCAGCTCCCTGTCTCAACTCAATCATTTCTCTTTCCCATAGCTAGACTTAATCAGACCCTTATCCTTCAAATGTCCAAGCTTTTTTTATCCACTACGTGTTTATATTTAGATAAATTTATCCATATCCAACACTTTTATAGCATGAAATCGATCTTCCATTATTTACTCCTTTAATCGTTTTTCTTTGTATTACTTTGATATTTTCATAAGAATAAAATGTACAAAAAAAAGGCTTACATGAGTTATATAAACATTTCAATGGTTTTACAACATGGTGTTTGCCAGGATAGGTATTTTTGAGCACTGATATAGCTGAGTTACAAGTTATTTGGAGGTGTATGTAGTGTCAGTTCCCTTAACAGGCTAAGTAACAGCAGCAAAAGGAACTTTTGGTTAAAAGACAAACTTCGTTGCATTTTCGGTCAGCATGATTAAGTTGGTTAGTGGTGTGACTACTATAACGTGTCTCTG